ATGTAGAGAACCAAAGCTTGTATGAGTGCTGGCTTCTTCAGCACATGTACTAAAATTGGAACGATACAGAGAAGATGAGCATGGCCCCTGAGCAAGGGATGGCAGGCAAATTCACCAAGCATTCCATATTTATAAAAGCAACAACAACCTGGAAGATTCTTGAAGACCCCTTTCAACAGTATAAAAAAGATTAAGAAGCTGCTGGGCTGGAGACGCTGAGCAGCCCAATGGTGGAAAGATAGAGCGAGTCAGATCCAGCGGCAGAGCTCCTGCAAGCTGTGCAGAGAACCTCAACAGCTCCCGGGTTGCAATTTACAGAAGTCTGAAGTCGTCACCTGTGCTGGGGTGGGCTTTCTGGTGAAGCAAGAGTCATGCCTGTCCCTCATAAGTAACCTCTCACCCAAACGCCTGTTAGTAACCCAATAAAAACACCCACTGATTTCACCAAATTGGCCATGGGTGCAATCTTTACTTTGGTCTGTCATAGACTCCTTTTCTGGGGTGCGTTGAAGGGTGTGTCATTGTCTTAGGGTCTACTATTGCTGGGAACAGAGACACCATGACCACGGCAACTCTTATAAAACTATTTAATTGAGGGTGGCTCGCTTGAAATTTCAGTCCATTCTGATCATGGCAGCGTGCAGGCAGACGTGGTGCTGGGGCTGAGAGTGCTGCATCTTGTGGGCGACAGGACATTGACTGACAGCCATGCAGAGGGAAGCTTGAGAAAAAGAGATCTCAAAGCCCGCCCCCACAGTGACACACTTTCTCTAGCAAGGCCACACCTCCTAATAGTGCCACTCCCTTTGGGGGGGGCATTTTCTTTCAAACCACCACAGTCATGTCACCCCAGGAAGTCTGTCACACACACACACACACACACACACACACACACACACACACACACACACACACACACGCCGTCGGGCAGTGGGCAGTTCCACGTGGAGGGTTCCAGCAGGTCTGAGTACGGCAAGTGCGGGCCTGAGCATGGCACCAGACACTTTTTAAAAATCCTTTTCCCTCCCTCTTGTTGAAAATCCTTAGATTACATTCCTAAAGCTGACTCCCAAGGTCCACTCCCTTATTTGGCCACTGGCTCATTACTGAGACAAAACTCCAAGGTCCTACAACCAAAATTCATTATTTGATGTGAATAATGAATATGTCCAATCAGGATTTACCAACTCACCCTAGCACAGACGCCCCCTTTATTGCCTTAAAAACCCCACACCTGTAAAACAAAACAAAACAAAACAAAAAACAAAACACCTGCTTGCTTCTGCTGCTTACTGTCAGCCTTTGTAGCTCCCCCACACATCCCTCAACCCCTTTGATTGCTCCTCAGAGGTAATAAATCTTGTTTGTGTTGAGAATTTGGTGTCAGGGTGTGTCCCATACAGACTCCAGGGGGCGCAATCTTTCTTGCACTGGATCTGAACTCCAGTCTTTACACACTAAGGAACAGAGGACCGAGGACTTTACCAACACTAAGCAATCTTCCCAGTCCAAAACTGAAATGCTGTTTTTCTCTATTCATTATTGTACACATTCTTTCCTCTTCAAACCTATTTTCATAATTTATCTCATTTACACTGTGCTCTTGATCATTTATTTTAACCGCTGCTTAAAAGTTAATACCGGCAAACACATTTTCCTATTGATGCAGACTTAAATTACTTTCAGCTTTTCCAGAGTTAAAAAAAAAATGCTGTGAGAAATCAGTATTAAATATGGGGGTCACAGCCTGTGCCCCAAGTCAGGTCTGGCTACCCATCCTCAACAACGCAATTAAAAGAGACAAATTAATAGTGGATAGCAGAAAAAAGAGATTTTATTCAAATTGGCCACATTGAGAAGAAGGAAAACGAGATCCAGCGAACCTCTCAACTCCATCTTTGGGGTCTGAAATTAAAGTTTAAATAGAGGGCCAAGGACACATACATCTGAGCAGTCCTGGTCACGTGCAGTCTCCCACCATCGACCCATCATTATCGGGACTTCAGACTCTTACTGAAAGGGGGAGTTCCAACTCTGTGAAATCTCTTCCTGAGTAATAAGCTTCCTCCTTCTCTCAGAATGAGATTCCTGGGGAATTCCCATCTCTGTGGGATTGATTGTTTCAACAGTCTGATAGTCAGATTGGGAGACTCAGGTGTCTCTTTAGACATTTTCATCTGTCAGGCAGGTTATAGAATGTTCTTGTTGGAAGAGTTTCTCTATGGTATATATTTATGATTACTGAGGGCTATGCGATGTTCCTTCTGTATGCTGTGAATATGTATTACTCTCATTGATTAATAATAAAGCTGTTTGGCCTATAGCAAGGCAGGATAAAGTCAGGTGGGATAATCAAACTGAGGACTGGGATGAAGAAGGGCAGAGTCAAAAGAGACACGTCTGAGTTGCCCAACAAGCAAGATGCCAGAGGACCAGTAAAACAATAGCCACGTGACAATGCATAGATTGATGGAAATGGGATAATTTAAATGTAAGAGCTAGTGAGCAGTCAGCTTGAGCTATTGACTGAATATTTTGTAATTAATGTGAACTTTTATGTGCTTATTTGGGATCGGGTGGTCAGGACAGAAAACTCAGCTTCTGTTTACAACTGAGTATGTGTATCTGTGGGTTCAAAATAGCTCCCAATCACCTGCTCCCTTCCTGAAGCCCCCACCCCCGCATATCACTGCATTGGGGGCCAGGTTTCCAGGTCACAAGCTCTGGGGATATGAACAAACCACAACAGTCAATAGTAAGTGCTATATAAAAATGAAAGCTACAGTTCACCTCTAATTAAGGAACAGCCGTTTTCCTCAGAAAATAAAATGTATAGAAAATGTAATTACTTTATGTCTTCTTCCTGTATTTTGTTAAGTTTGGAGACCTATCACACACACACACACACACACACACACACACACACACACACACACACACACTCACACTTAGTCATTCCAGCCCCAACTTTGCTTTAAGGTTTGTTCCCTCTTTATACACAAATGCCTTGGCTCAGGTCATACTTTATGAGTGTATTTCAGACTCTTCTGAAAGCAGATCTTATGCAGCAAATGAAGGGGAGAGCAGAAGGGTTCTTGTCTTCTTGTCTCCGGGGAAGAAAAAGGCCCAGAGGAGCTATGGAAATATCCAAGTAAACTGGCCAATTCAGTTAGGCAACGAATCCTTTCCCTCACAGCCTCATGCCTAGCAGAATTAATTGCAAAAAAAAATGTAGGTCTCATACAAGGGTAGTCTGCCTCTTGTCACCTGGACATCAGTTTCTGACTTTGGGCTTGAAAAGTCATAATAATTCATCACAATGGGCTTCTCTTTCTCAAATACTATTAACATTGATGGTATGTTTAACTTCATTTTCAGCTAGAGCCTAAGGAAACCAAAGCACTAAGAGATTAAATAATTTACCTAAAGGTGCAGCAAAGTCCATGCATGTCAAAGCCCACATGCTTTGCTGTGATGCCTCGCTGCCCCTGCCTGCTACTTGCAGCAAACAAGTTGTTTGGAAGAGCTGTTGCTGGGGGCAGCGAGGTGGATCAGCAGGCACTTGCCACTAAGCCTGACAACCTGAGTTACATCCTGGGACCTACAAGGGAGAAGGAGACAGTCAGCTTCTGTAAGTTGGCCTCTGACCGCCATGTGTGGGTTCCCATCCATAAACACACTAAGAATCGTAAGTGATTATATGACAGGAGTTGACAGTAGTCCTGGGAGCCCAGACCCACATCTTGCCAAGCTTTGCAAGGATGAGAAGATTCATAAACAAACTGTAGAAAAGACAAAAAAAGTTGGTTGTGAATTAAGGAAGCTCAAACCCACCGGGATGGAGGACAGGAGGGATTCTTAAGGCTGTAAAAGGGGAAACTAAGGAGGAGTTCTGTCCAGAGTTCTCAACGGTAGCCTACAGAGTACACCACTGAGCTGTTTTGAAAGCAAAAGATAAAGCCACTTTTTGTTTCTGCCCTGAAAGAAGTGGAAAGGGATGTTGATAAAAGATGTTTATGTGTGCCGGGCGTGGTGGCGCACGCCTTTAATCCCAGCACTTGGGAGGCAGAGGCAGGCGGATCTCTGTGAGTTCGAGGCCAG